AGACTGCTTCACTGTTGAGTCTCCAGTCCAGTCTGTTGTCCAGATGAACACCGAGGTATTTATATTCCTCAACCACCTGCTTCCTGTCCATCTCTGATASACCCAACAACTGCAGAGTCATCTGAGTATTTCTGTAGATGAAAGCAGTCTGACTTGTGCTGGAAGTCTGAAGTGTACAGCGTGAACAGGAATGGTGAGAGTACAGTTCCCTGTGGTGCTCCTGTGCTGCTGACCACCTGGTTAGACACACAGTCCTTCAGTCTCACAAGCAGGTAAGCTGTCAGCTTTGGTTATTCAGACAAGTCATAGATGCTTAGTAAAATTCCAAACTAATAGAGTCAATTTCACAAGTCTACAAGTTGAAAAATGCTCCTTTTTCCATACTTTGCCTCTAATGATTTAGACTTCATGTCGTTCTAAACAGCCTTGATCATATTTAGCCAGGCTTTCTGACAGCTAACATCTTTTAGGAATCACTTTATAGTGGTAAACTATTTATGTGTCAAACTTTGTTAGCTTTGATACTTTTTGAATGCTTCAACTAGGAAAATGATAAAACCGTCTTTGAGACTGACTATTATAAAAGCCTTTATGCACTGACTTCAAACCTGGGATCAGTGTTTACATTAGCTCTTATGGCCCAGTTCCAACCCAAGACRGTAATGTTTTGGKTTTTTTTTCTTTCTCACACGAGTTCAACTAAAGAACAACAGTAGCAAGCTAACAAGCACCAATTAGCTACCATTACCTTACTGTCCTCTGTCTTCTACAGTGTCCTAAGTACTGGATGGTCCAGTACAGTTTTTAGTACTTTTCCTTCAAACGTTGTTGTTGTGTCGCAAATTAAACAACATACGATTCTCGCCTGATTAATATTACGAACCCATATTGAGGGTAGAATAAGGCCAGGTCGACTGAGGCCAAGCCGTGCCTTACAATGCAAAGTGAGCCCAGTGCAAAATGCTCACACACACAAAAAGGGAAGCAGACACCTCGCTAATGTGAGATCCCAAATCTGTCATTTATATCCATATGAGATAGCAAGAATTTAGTTTAACTCTCCTGCTGCCCTGGGGTCAAAGTGACCCACGAGTCCTTATTTTTGTTAATAATAAACCCTAACATTTATACTGTTATGACTCAAGGTACATTTTTCTTTTATATAAATGGTACTATTTTAAATGATGCTGTTCATTTAAACCTAATAAAGCCAAAAGGGTTTCTAAAAAAAAAAAAAACAACTTCTCACAAAAAAGCACATTTTTTTCATGCAGTGATGCAGGTAGAAACATAAAAGCAAACCCACTGTGAGCTTAAACAACCAKCCTTTATTGCAAATTGCCACCTTTGCTCTCAGATTCATTAAAATGAAAATCAAATGCACATAAATGTCGGCTCGGGTCGTCCTGCATGTTGTTCATTCGTCTCAATGGGCTGATAGGTTAATTGCACAATAGGTGGAGTCATAGTCTTGTAAACAGCATAAAATAATAATAAAAAACTTCAACAAAATAAGACTAAATTAAAACTATTTAAATGCTGTAAATTAAATTCAAGCTGTGAACTTTCTCTAACCTTTTTTTAATGTTTTATGTCTCTTATGTGTTTCTACTGAGGTCATTGTGAGATTGTTCTTGGAACAGCTTTAAAAACAACAAGTCATTTAATCCGTCATAACTCTGTGAATAAGCTTAATTAGTAGCTCCAGATAAGTCTGATGTCTACTGAGAGTRGTGGTTTACTTTTTATTTTTGTTTTCTCAGAACAGTTGAGGATGACTATACGAGCTGCTGTATAGTGACACGACCACCAGCAACAGATTCGATGGCGTGCACTCGCGCAAACACTTGACCGGCACGTTGGCAGTAACTCACCGCTTGTTTATGTTTCTCGTGSAGATCAGCTCATGTTAATGTCGTCATTTAAATATCAGACAGCAGCAGCAGCAGCAGCTTGGCAATTGCAGGCGCGCTACAACTGCGGATAGCTACACAACAGCATGTGTTGTTGCCTCCGTGAGTCCGGCCAAGTCGAGGTTGGCAAGCTTTCAGTGGGACCAGATCCTCATTCTCAAGCAAGAGTCAGATTGTTGATGGAATTTTGCTTAGCTTTGGCTGCTAGCCCAGTGGTCGGAGGAACAAATGAAACTCAAATGCATAAACATGGACTCATTGTCCTCTMGAAGCGCCTTGGCTTGTAGGGCTCAAAACAGCAAAGAATGCYGCTGATATAGAAACAAGACAAAAGAGCAGAGTAAACAGACTGGAGAGGCTCTGGTTGATGTAAATGAAGAGATCAGACAGTCAGCGCTTCAGTCAGTTGATAGAGACATTTTTTTACAAACTATATATTTTTAAGAAGAAGAAGAAATGCTCGTCAGTAGGTGTTGTAGGAACATCTGTAATAATTCAGCAAATATCTCACTTGGCTGCAATCATTGACAACCAATAGATAATTTCATACTTACRAATGGTTACAAATTTGCAAAGTGGACAAGCTCACACGTTTCACTCATATTGTGTCCTTGTAGGGACACAGTACGAGATTTTTTTGTTTTTTTTATTCCTCATCTTCCCTCATGTTTGCTATTTCTTTTCTCTCTAAGGCTGCAGGACCTGGAGTTCCATGAAACGGTCTATTGGCGACTTAGCCTGGTTAAAACCAGCCCCTTGTCCTTTGCTTTGCTTCATACAGAGGGTCTGGACTCTTGGCTATTGAGACGCAATTGCTTGCTGGAGGTGTGGCCTCTGTTGAAATGGTAAAGAGTAAATGGACTGAACTTATAGAGCGCTTTTGAAGTTTAAAACGATTGGATCGATTGGCCGCAACGTGTGTACACTAGCTCCACTGTAAAGGAGGCTAAGCTAAGAAGCTAACTGGAAATTGCGTGCGCTGTAAACAACCCTACTGAGAGGAGAGAAGTACCGAGCCGAACAAGACAGCTGTAAATGAGAGCTGCTGCTTTGTCAGACAAATTTAATTGAATTTAGAAGCCTTATCAACATGGACTGTCTTCATTCACTTCCTCCACTATCATTGCTAAGCTAGCCAAGTAGGGGTCTCCGCGGACGAGTGCGGACGAGTGGGCGTGTCAGAAGGAAAGGCGATTCTAAAGCGACACACCTGATTTGACGGACTTTGTGAAAGGGACACACCTGACTGGACAAGCAAAAAAAGCGGTGATACCGTACAGCACCACCTCATTGGACAAGAACAAAAGGGGMGTTACTGTACGGCATCATTTTTTCTGGAGAACCCTACTTGGGTSACATTTCTCCTGGTTAACCTTAGTGTTGGGGTCAGGGTCAGGCTGTATAGAGGTCAAGCAGGATCTAAGGATACCGTCATGTAGGCCTCGTAGCCCACAGTGTTTATGCTTTTGACATGCCCACTCTTGTGACACGCCCACTTTGATTCCGCAGATAACCCCTTCTCAAGCTAGCAGACACTGCTCTGACGTCGTTCAAAACTCCGCCTTCTGTTTGCTGATTGGCCCAGGTAAAATTCAACTGAAAAAAAATTTCTACAGGAGAAATCCTAGACAGAGCAGTGAAAGGAAACTAGAACTGAGTGGCGTAGGAAAGAAAGAGTCAGGCTACTGGTGACCCAAAATTGCGAGAAAATTTTAAATTTTCAGTTGCAGTCTCCTATGGTGCAGTTTCAGATCTATGTCTCTTAATGCAGCCCCTTTAGTGTTTGGGGCCAAGTCAATAGAGAACTGTACAAATGTGTTTTACATAATCAGTTTTTGAAAATCATTGCCTTTTATGCATCTTGCAAAATCTTGTTGTAACTTGTGCATTATGTCGTTACCAAAACTTCATCATAAAATTCTGGTCAGTTTCCATCGGGGTCTACCAGTGATGGGCCACTGCCATAAAAAGACTCTATAAGTGCACAAACAAAGGGGAACGTATAATATATGAGATTTGTCCCACTGAATAGGTGGCAAGGTTGTGTAGAGATAAAGGCAGCTGTAGTGCCCTGGTTGAAAAAATTGCTATAATTAGATTTACTCAAAATTTGATGAAATGCTACCTTATTTATGGGTCCCTTGAAAGAGATGTCTGAAACATAAAATTAAAAAATATATATTTTAAAGGACTTTGCTGAGAAGATTTTAAGCAAAAAAGTTGCAAATTTTTGCTACTTTTCTTGCGCACAGGCAACGATAGTTTCAATATCGACTCAAACATTCTGTTGTTCAGATATGGTCTGAGGTTTCTTCTTCCAAATGATTTCAAGACGTCCTTATTAGAGCATGCTAAAAAAAGATTCAAACTGATTTTCCAAGAATTTTTCTGATTAGAAGGACAAACCAACCTGCTCGCAATATCAGGATGTTTTGTGTATCGAGATGTAGCCCCCCCCCAAAAAAAAGAACATGGATCTGAAACCATGCTTGGTTCAGTTTGACTAAGAATGACTTAATCTTTGATTTGAGTTCTTATTATCTTCTCAAGAACCCCTTTATTTCCTCACTTCATCAGCGTTTACATGCTTTATTCCCCCCCTGTTCAAACTTTTGGGCTCACTCGACTCTTCAAYGCCCCGGTATCCTCGCTGTTATGTACTGAACAAACGGTGCTGCTGTGATGCTTATTTTTCACCATTGCTTGATATAGAATTCTGACTGCTCGGGGGAGAAATGATAAAAGCRTTGCAGCGCTGAGACATGCGGACATCTGTCAGGTGTGACTGGCTCCCAGGATGGCTAGCTCATTATCGTCTCATGAAACGAGGGGACGAGGCTACAGAACAGGGGAGTGCTAGCAGGACTGGATCTCATTTGCTTTCTCTGCTGAAGCCCAAAACATTGCCCACCCTCTGGCAGCYCTGGATAATTTGGAGCTACACTCTGTGTGGTTTAGTCAATAACCGAGTGAATAGTTTTTATTTTTTTGTTGTTGTCTTTTGGGCTAAATATCCATCTGTTGCTTTTCTACTGAGTTAATCTMTGCCCTGCTTTATTCCCCTGTGTGCGAATGCCAAACGTTTAAATTAACTGAAAATATATATTTTAAGAAAACAATAGATTTATAATAAAAATTGTTTTGTGTTTTATTTTCTCCTGCTTTGTTGGCAGTGTTTGGATCTGAATAAGTTCGAGGGAGTTGAGACTGAAAGCCATCTAGTGAAGAAAGCCTTGGAGCATCTAAATAATGACACGTTTTGGGCTGGTGTTGTCTTTGAGAACCTCCAGCCGAGCTCCAGCCTCATCCCTCCTTTTGTCAAATACAAAATCAGGATGGACATCGATGAAGTTGAGCGTACCAACAAAGTAAAATCAAGGTATGGAATTTAACTTKGTCTTCTTTTACTTCTGGAGCTTTTTCTAACTTCCTCTTAAGCCCCATGGGGTTTCATTGAAGTTTGYGCWCAAAATAACATTCCCAAAACTAACAAACTGCATTATACTGTCTATCAGAAAGAATGACATTTTAAAAATATCATGAATAAGTCTAAAAAAACAAAACAAATGGAAGCCATAAACCCAATTCTAAAACTCTATTAACTCAACAATCCAGTGAAAATTATCAATTTATTTTTACTGAAAATAAAACTAAAATAACTAAAATAATAAAAAAATAATAATTATACTGGTAATAGAAGACAGTATAATGCAGTGACAAAAATACAGTGACAAAAAAGAAGCAATAAATCTAGTTTACGATTACAATATTGTCTTTCGGGCCAGATAAAATAGTGGTACTGGCCGGCTTTGGCTCACGGCCTTTGAGTTTGATGACACATGTTCTATAGATATAACTCAAGAAATAAAAAATATAAGTATGATTAGGGAGATAGATAGATGTTAAATTGTTTAAACCAGGGGTCTTGATGACTAAATGGTGTATGGCCCCTATATACATATATATATATATATATATTGATG